CGATCTTAGTTTGGAGTGCGTTGTGCCTCTCAGATGGCACTACGATCTTAGTTTGGCGCGCGTCTTGGGTCGCGTCTCGCTACCGCCGTACGCCTCGCAAGCAAGCGCACCCTCGCTTTACATGCTCTCCAAAGCGTCCTCTACTATTATGCCAAGTCTTGGACATTTCGTTTTTGAACGCAAAGTGGTCGATCGCGCGGCCTGGCGATGCTGCACCGGATATCCGGATAATGTGGCTAATAACACGCAAGCTGTCGCGGCGCGTTCCCGCTTGCGATTTTATGGCAAACCTCGGTCAAAATACAAAATGGCTCCTACGTCGTAGAGTGATTAAGTTTGCTTTGTATAGCACGGAGCACCAAGTTGCACCGTCGTGCGCGGCCTACAACGCATGAAACTCGTATCCAAAGTGATGCTGAATTGCACTATTTGCGGCATCATGAGGAACTTGTACATGGCACATGCCATTTTCAACGAATGAAACGCATCAGAAGCTCTCTTGCCGTCGCCACTTGAGAGTATACGAGCGCAATTGGATATGCTATTTGAGTTGCGTTTATAGGCAGCTAGTACGTAATTGTTTCTACTTGGCGCCTTCGTCGTCACTGTCGTCTTCGTTGAGCTTGAGCTTGAGCTTGAGCTTGGAGGGAACGCGGCGGCCGTTCTCGACGAGAAGCTTGCCTGGCTCGCATCGCTACGCGGTTGACGACCTTGGCGTCCGTGAGGCCCACAGCGAGCGCCGAGACAAGCGCCGCGTCGACCTTGACCGCGAGGCCAACTTGACGAGCGAGTTCTCATCGCAAGCGTGGTGGCAACCCACGTCGGCACCGGCGAGAGACTGAGCAAGCCCGATGCTACCAGCGCCGCCGAGTGGCGAAGCGTTCAAAGCTCCGTCGACGGCTGCACGAGCTCCTGGACCATCGCGACACCATGCTATGCGCTGCCGCGCTCTCGCTCGGCAGCGCATACGCCGGAGGTCGTCGTCCGTGATGAGGAGGCGCGAAGGGCGTCCTCCACCGCGAGTACAGCCGACGCCGAGACCTTGGCGCTGACGCGGGTGTGATTCGCAACAAGCGCGTCAAGGCTGGCCTCCTGGACGCCGCCCGTCGTCGACGCAGCCTTGTCCGTGAGCTCGGCAATGAGCGGGTCCATACTTCACAGTTGTGACCACTGCTCATGGTCACTGAAGTTATCTTCCGAACGGCGGTGCTGCCATGCTACCCGGTAGCATTGCGGGCCGTGTCGGAGTCGATTTGAAACTCAACTGAAATGGATGTTTCTATTGGCTCGATTTTAAATTATTTATAGCCAATCACAAGACTACGTCTTATATAGTGTGCGTATCCACTGCACCACAACGAATCGCAACCCACAGACTCGCCAACCCCACGTAGCAGATATGTAGGCCTCTCTACACACTCACTGAACGGCGTACATGTTGTTTCCGACGCTGAACGCGGCGTAATCACGCGTAAATCCATTTTTCATTTTTTGAGGTGGTGGCACAATTGCTCAAGTACTCTACATGAAATCGCGGGGTTTGAAAGCTCCAAGAGCCCCGATTCCGGCTGCCACAGTTGGCTATGGATCTCGACCCGATGTGCGACCAGTTTGTTGGGCCGCGCCGTTGCTTGGGCGCTCACACCAAACTCAAACTGCCGAGCGTCGGTTTTCCCAAAATGCGGCACGATATTTCGATTGAAAATAGGTTGAAATCGCGGAAACTGAGGACGCCATCTTGTTTTGTTAATGTTGGAGAGCGTGTTGCATGTGGCCGAGAGCTGTGGCCGAGGAAGGCATCGCGCCTGCGATATGCCCCGTAATGAAACCTGACTGTCATACAGTATTTCAGTGTAAAAAAATACACACTATATCCTAGCCAAGCACCAGTGTTCTTGCCCCATTTTAAGTTTTTGTGGGCCATCGTCGCGCAGGACCGCCAGCACGTATGTGGCAAGCCGTGCGCAGGCCTCGGGCCGCGGGCTCATGCAACGTTGATGTAGGCGTGGCGCAGCTTCAGCATCCGTGACGAGCCACCGATGCGGCCCTAGGGCGGAGCCCTGGCCTCTCGCGCGTCGGCCACGCGACCGCCTCCGAGATGCGCTTGTACGAGTTCCCAAGACCTGCGACGACGCTGGGAGCGACGCCACGTTATCTAGCATCGTGAGCGCCACGGCATCATGCGCTTGCGCGTCCAGATCGGCCAGCGCTACGGCCGCATTCGACCTACGGCGGGTCGCGCGCTCGTCACTGCCGCCACACTCTACGTACATCTCGGGCGTCGACGCGCGACTCGTGTCTCGGCGCGAAGCTTGCATGCGGCTCGTCGCGCCGGCTGTCGCGCGCTGCACTCGAATCCATTGCCATGCCGAGCTTTTTCCTCTTCTTTGTCCTCCATGGCAGACTGCTGGGGGCCAACGTCGACACGCACTACTGACGGCGGCAAGACACGTGTCTTTGTAATCACCGAGCCACACAGAGATGCCAGGGACATCAATAGTCCGCAACGACGCCCTTGCCGTAACTCACCAGAACGAGTGCCAAGGCTCGAAGCGCCATATACTGGCTCGCGTTGAATATCTAGCTGATTTATGTTGGAATAAAACAGCAATTGTTGGCGAGTTTCAAAACAAATACTTGCAGGCCTTTGATAGCCACGTGCGTCGACATACAACCTCTCTCGAGCTAGAGAAAGCGTCCCTGAAAATATCACAGCGATTGGAGAAGGTTGCAAAAGTTTGGATTTGGCCCGAGCATTGTGAGCTATAAGCACCTCGCTCCAATCGATCCACAGGATGTGCTGGACGCAGTAACGCCATGAATGTTGCTAGGAATCGCAATCTTGATCCACCGGAAGGGGAAATCGTCGCTACAAGTGCAAAATACGAAGACTACAGCGAGTCAATGCAGTCATTAGCATTTTAACGTTAAAAGCGCTTTGTATTTGAGCATTGCGCGCGTTTGAGGTCTGCAACGATGACGAACCGCAGTTTGCTTTGCTCGCCAAAGTGTTTTCTATCACTGTACTAGCTATGGATGATTCCATTTCAAACGTGATGGTGTCGACAAGAGGCGTCGGTGCCGTGGCGTCCTGCCGCTCAGATGACACTACGGTCTTAGTTTGGAGTGCGTCGTGCCTGTAAGACGGCATTACGATCTTAGTTTGGCGCGCATCTTGGATCGCGTCTCGCTACCGGTGCACGCTTCGTACGTTGACGCAACCACGCTTTCTGTCCTCTTCAGAGCCGCTTTACTGCCTGAATCAAGTACGCACGGTCAACAGCATCATGCAGCACATGACGAGGCGCAGTTGTGTCGCCACCTTTATTCTCCGGTGGCCGATGATGCCATCCATCATCAGACAATTTTGCGAGCTATGCCCCTAGCTTAGACTAGCTTTTTTCATTTGTAGTTCGTCCAACAATACGTCAATCTCCTACATTGCAATCTAGGGCGTGCTGTCCTTCGAGATGCGCCTTGATGCGCACGTACATCCAGCTGCATTTGCGATTGGCGGTCACGCGAGATCGTGTCCTTGACGCTCTTCTGAGCGAATACAATACGAGTGGAAGATGTACATTAATCGGTCAACGGGAACGCGTGGCGCGACGCTGCAAACAGGGGATGGTCTTCGGGGACGCGCCACGTCGTCGGTAGTTCTACTGCGTAGATGCACCAGCGCTTGATGTCGAGTGCGAAGAAGCGGTTCTTGTAGCGATACGTGAGTATGCCGTTGAGGACGGCGGAGGCGCGGTCAAGGTAGTAGACGTTGCCAAACGTCCAGTGCGCGTCGAAGAAGAGGTACTTGGCGCCCGCACAGAGCATGCGCGAGTCGCTGCTCGTCGGAGACGATGCGTGGCGCAGATAGTTCCAGGCCGCGAAGAAGCACACCACGTTACAGGCCACGACGACACTTACAATCAGAACGAGTCGGTCTACGTGGCCGATGACAATGTTGCCGCTGGTGCAGACGACTTGAAAGTCGAGGTCCGCGAGGCTACATTTGTGGTCAATGGTGACGGCGTGCCCAACGGGCGAAAAATAGCTGAGCGACGCGGTGATGAACCACACGAGAAGGCTGTTGGGTGTCGCGTAGTACGTCGTGTGCGCGCGCGTGAAGACCATCGCGACGTCGTTGACGATAGCGACAAGCCACGTGACTTCGGTCGCAACGAGCCACGTCTTGTACCACGCATTGGGCGCCTCGACGAAGCGAGTGACGTAGCCCGAGTACGAAAGCTCGATGGTACCAGTCGCTAGCAGCGTCACGGCCGAGATACTTCGGATCGCAAGCAGCGGCCGACCCACCCACACCATGCCGCCGACGCGGTTGAGCTCGAGAAGGTTAAACGCCTCGACGTAGCCGCGTGCAATGTAAATGTAGAGTTGGACGAGGCAGGCGATGCTGATCATGACGATCGTCACGTACGTGGAGGCAAGACGCGAGTACTGAGCGAGCTCAATGGGTAATTCCCAGGCCTGCGCGTCCTGCGTCAACGGCGCTTCGTAATCAGTGAGGAGCGTCAGGTTCCCAGCGTCGCCGACAAATGCTACAACCTCTCGGTTCCCGAGGACCCAGTCGTACATAAAGCACCAGGCGTAAAAGTCAAATGACGACGATGGCTGAAAGAGCGGTTGCGTCGCAAGCTGCAGCGTCGAAGTACCGGGATAGCGCGCGTACTGCATGAACGAGATGTGAAGCAAATCAAGGTCATGTCGAAACCGAACGCCGAGCTCGTTGGCATCGCGGATCGCGGCCGGGAGGTATGTTGTCACAAATTCCGATATTTGGTGTAAATATGCTGGACACGCGGCGAGGTTGGTTGGGTCGTGCGCGCATATATTTGCATGGGCAGACGCGTTGCTAATAGCGTTGGCAAGCAAGGCGGCAACGACGAGGTGGTCAGTCGTCGGCGCGATCTTGGCGTCCAAGCCCGTCGTCATCGAGCAAGTCGCCGTGAATGCGACGACATTCTTCATACCGGATGTGATGACCGTGTCGCCGCTGGTGCTCGGCAGCGCAGGGCACAGCGGTGAGCCTCCAAACGCTGCAATGGGAGCCTCCAACCACGGTGCGGGCACAGGGTACAGCGCGTCGACAGTAGAAATCGCAAAAAACTGAGCCTGCGCCGAGCGATTGGCATCAAGTGCAATGCGCAGACCGGTTAAAAGAAGGCGGCACACTTCCGAGATGCGTGGTGGCACAGCCACGTAGGTGCTGTCGATGGTGCCGTATGGCCCAAGCGCGTCGGCGATGAGCTGCGGCGCCTCTGAAAGCGGAGCGATGAGCTCTCCAGCCAGCACGAGTAGCGTTTGACGCGTGGCATTGGCAAAGGCGTAGTTGGCACTCGTCGGAAGGAGGCTGCGACCGTGGATGCCACTGTTGTTGGTCAAAATGGCGCTCAAATCCTTTGCGAGTGGCCAATTCATCTTGAACGAGGTCTGCTGTCGAAGGCGGAAAGTGCCGTTTTGAGCTTGGAGCGTGAAGGCGTATTGGAATCCATAGGCATTCTCGATCGTGTACGTGTTCTGGAGCCCAATGAGCTTGAAGTTCTGCCACGCTGGCGTAAAGTGCGTCACGTCCCTGCGGCGCCAGTAGGCAACTTCCCCAAAAATTGAAGTGTGTGCTTGGATCGTATTGGTGAGCCAGCGCCGGCCGTCGGGGGAGGTTTGCAGGTCGTTTCCAAAGGCAATGCCAAAGGCGTCGCCCCAGCACGCAAACCAGTCGGCCCAAACGACGTTGCGCAGAACGGCCTCCACGTACACTGCGGCATTGTCGGCATATGCAACGCAGCGCTCTTGTCGCGCGCGTGAACTCGCCAATGCCCACGTTCGGTTGGCGTCCAGAAAACAGTACGACGATGCGAGCCACGGTGCGCTACATGCATCCATGTGTCGCAGGGCTGAGATTGCAGCGTCGAGCGACGTCGCCTCTGTGTACTGCAGCCGCGCGCCGAACAGAAGAGAGCCAGAAAGCACGCCGTGTGAATGGTCAAAGAGACCGGGTTGCAGTAGGAAGGGAGCGTCGAGTCGGAAACTGCCAGAGGTAACACCGAGGACGAGCTGTTGGTTGAACCAGTTGGCAAAACATGTGTGGATGCCGTTGATGCTAAAGGTGGCCCACTTGAGGTCGTTTGCGAGGTTGACGCTGGCCACTTGGAGGTACGAGACGCTGCTACCGATTGAGAAGGCGACGTACCAGAGACCAAGCAGCGTCAGGCCGCGGTGGAAATGGAACGGCCACTTGGGCGGGCGGTGCGTCCACGTGAGCTCCCTCGATGTCTTTTGAAAGCGCAATCGAGGGGGGCGCAGTAGGTACGTGGAGCCATCATGGCAGTACGGCTCTTCCTGGAAGACGCGCCAGAGTCTCAAATCAAAGACATACTTGGTGCCAAAGACACGCAGCGGGATGAGCGCGCACAGCACGGACGACACTTCGTCCATGGACCACGAGGTGCGCGGATGCCAAGAGGTGACAACGCCACTCGACGTTGTCGAGAGCAGAATTGGTATCGCATGGGGCGGCACTGGGTGGTATCGACGCCATAGCAACGTCAACAGAAACGGCCCAAGCGCACTTGCGGCTTGAATCCAAAGCAGCGTCGTGAAGCGGTCATTGCTGCCGACGTAGATGGTTCCCGCAGAGCACGAGACGGCGTAGTCCATACTGTGACTATCGCAGTTGCGTGAGAGGGTACCCGAGAGCAGCACCGGACTCACGACCGACAATAAGATCGTAGATATCCACGCCTGAAGGCTCGTAGCCCCGGCGTACGTGGCCGTGGCCGTCGGCGATAAAATCTGAATGACGTCGATTCCAACATAGGCCATCCAGTTGGCCTCGCCCGCAACCAGCGCAATCTGGACCAGCGATAGCGTCGTTGTGCGTAGTCGCGTAAAAGGTCCGTGACGCACCAAGCTGGTCTGAGCCGAGCTCAGCATGGCGGCTGCGGTGATGCCGCGCAGGAGCATGATGGGTCGCCCGACATACCCCATGCCCACGACGCGGTTGAATTGAAAGAGGTTGCGACCAAGAATGCGAAATCGGAGCCGTGCGCCGTGCAGAACGCAGAGAAGCGCCACGAGACCCAACACGACGCTCGCGTACGCGGTCGTGTAGATGGCGATCTGCGACGCGTTCTTGACAAAGCGGGTGCCCCCGCTAGTGGGTAGTTTTTGGGCGTCGTAGGACGCCGAGATGAGTGCGATTGACGACGCGTCGCCTTCCACCGAGAGCACCTCGCGCCGGCCTTGCACCCAGTCGTAGAGCATGATCCAGCCGTAGACTGCGAATGTCGTATCATCGAGGAGCGGCTGCTGCAAGAGCGACCACGTCGATCGATTCTGCGCAAATTGGATGACTTGTGGCTGAAGCGGACGAATACTCTTTGACGCGTTGCTAAAGGCAGAGGACGGCAGCACTTGCCCAGCATCCCGCACAACGTCTCCGAGTATTTGCACCGACAGCTCTGGCACTGCACAGGCGGCGAAAAGAGCTGCCTCTGGGCGTAGCGCAACTAGAAACGGGTGTGGAGTAACACAAGCATCGTCAAAGTCGAATGCAGCTTGCACATAGTCCGTGCCGGGCATATGCAAACACAAAAGGCTGCCGCCAAAGAATGGCATGTGCTGTTGCCAATGCTGCGGCGTCGGTAGCAGCGCATCGACGCTCTTTCGTGCCGTAAACTCGGCCAGGAAAGCAGAGTCCGAGGCCAGTCGAGCGTACAATGAGGCTTGAAACGCAAGGTAAGTGTCGCGCAACGCCGTCGGTGGTGAAACATAAAAGGCGTCGATAGCCAGCAACGGCCCCACAGAGATTTGCACGGCGCTTGTCTGGTTGTGACAGACGCCGCCGGCATCGCAGAGGCCAAACCAAGCGACAAAGTCCACCGAGGTGTTGTTGACGAGACTCACGTTGAGCTGGGTAGCGGCCCACATATCAACAAAAGGTAGCCAGAACTGCACAATCGACGTCCACGCACCCGCGCTACGAGGCCGACTCTTGAGCGTCACCTGCTGCTCGTAGCCAAGAGCGTTGGCAAGAGCAATGGTCTCGGAAACGCCGGGCTGCCACCGGTTGGTCCACTGCAACTGGAAGATTTCAATGCCCATGGACGTCCAAAGATCGTTCTCGGATGTCGTTGACGTCACCGCGCGTGCCGAGGACGTGGAAGCGAGCCATGCCCGCCCTAGGACGCTAGCCTCGAGCGTCGACTGAACTGCTACTGTGAACCAGTTGCCAGGACCGCCCCACGTCGCCTGGAAGTCTTCCCATTGGACGTTGCGCAAGACGGCCTCCAGATAGACGGCGCCGTTTCGAGCGTAGCGTTGCTGGCAACGCGCTTGCCGACGCGCTGTGTGTGCGAGGTGGAAGGTCTGGTTGAAGTCGACGAAGCAATACTGCGTGCTCATGCGGAGACTCCAAGGTGCGCTGAGCGAGCGCAAGTTGGCAATGGCATAGCGCACGCTCATAAGTTCATGAAACGTGAGATGCCGCACGTAAGTAGGGTACAAGCTCGTGGAGGACGAGCTAGCGTCGTACGCCTTGCGCTGCATGGCCGCGTCTGCGAGGAGGTCGAGCGGCCCTGACGCACTCGTGGCAAGCGCTACATTGGTGGCATCGACGAGAAAGGCTTCGTAACCGCTCAGGTTGTAGCCCGGCCACCAGAGATCGTTGGCAAACGCCGGTGCGAGGAGCGCCAAGTAGAACCAGCCGCACGTCAACGAGAAGAAGACGTAGCAAAAGCCGCAAGTGACGCGCACCATATCCCACCGACCGTGGAGGTGATGCGGCACGAGGTCGCTTCGCGGCGCGGACTCGAGTGGCGCCACTTGCATCCCGTCCGTTTCTCCCTCTGCGATCGTTTCAGCCGAGAAGACGAACAAAGTGCCCTCCGTCGATGCCGATTTTTGACTGATTCGAATCGTCCGGTGTGCGCTTCATTGAGATGGGTGGGGTTGAGCTCGTAGTCTAGACAAGTCAACCCCAAAGGAGAGCAATACCTTCAACAGTGTCCGCAGCTCACATGACTATAATTAGCAAATTGATTGAAATGCCGGCAAGTGGGAAGCGGGTGCGTAGCGGGCCGGTGCGGTGGATGGTCAAGTCGCCAACGAGGCAGGCACCTCGGTGGAGCCTTTTTCAAGCCGTCGCACCCGCACTTTCGGTCACGTCTCTGCGTCATAGCTCGACCTAATTGAGCCAGATGCTACTGACAAGGGCTCGGCGCGCGCAACACCGCGTCCGGGTTGCAACGACGCTACTCTTGAGCGTTGTCCTGTCGTGGGTCGCCGTCTTCTATTTAGTGCGCCCGAGGTCGAGCGGCCTCACGAATACGTTCAATGGCGTCCAGATCTCTCAGCTGCATCCTTTCACCGTCATCGACCACGACAACCTCCGCTTCTTCAGCCTTCCTCTCCGTCCTTAATTTTAACGGCGCCAAGATGCTTTTGGGCCTCCAAGCTCCGAATCCGTGTTTTGACGTGCTTGAATACATGGACCATGGCTACACTAACCTCGTCACGTCCGAGTACATTTGGCTCGGCCCGCAGCTTGCCACATACATTGCGCAGTTCGTGGTCGTTCTCGTGGCCCTTGGGTCGGTCAAGAGCGATATTTCAGTCTCGATCCTCGTCGACTTGGTCGCGGGGACAACGTACGCGCTGGTGCTGCTTGTGTTTTCGCTCCTCGGCAAGTATTACCTCGTCTTCAACCTCAGTAGCATCCTCACGTCCGACTCGCTTGTCTCGATGAGCCTCATTTCTGTCACTTCGTTCTACCACAATTTGATCGTGTCCCATGTCTGGCCATCCAAGCTTTTCGTCGCAATCACGCCGAGCGTCATTCGAACTGGCGTCGTCCATCGCGGGCTTCTCACCCTTCTGGCGTTGACCGTCACGGCCACGGAGGTGTGTCTCGGCTGCACCTACAACGAGAGCGTTCAGATCGGGACGAACCCGACGCCGTGTGTCTTTGGAACTGGCGACTGCTTCAACGCCATCAACCTTCCCGTTGTCGCATGCGTTGTGGGATACCCATGTCTGCTCACTCTGTACACCGTTGCTATTACGACGTACGTTCGACGGCAACCGCGTGCGCTTTTCGTCGCCGCCGAATGGATGAGCTTCAGACAAGTCGAGCTCGAGACTACGCCCAACCACGTTCCAGCAACGACGTTCGAGACCTTTTGCTGCGACAAGCGCCTCGACCAGCTCCTCCAGGCACGCTATCTCTGCGTCGACGTCCCGTCCGGAAAAATCGGGACGCCATCCTCGCAGTCATGACGCTCGGGTTTGTGCCGATGCGGTCAGGGCTCCTTCTTCGGTTCAAAGACTACCTCACACTCGCGATCGTTCGCTTCTTGCCGGCCAGGTGGAAGCGACGGCTGCGCATCTTGATCCCGATCGCGACCATTTCGCGGGGCAGCATCAACGGCCCCGTCACGTTTATACAAGTTAGCGACCTCCCCGTCGACGATCTGCGTGTTAGCGCGCTGCAATGCATCGTATAGTCCATTCCATCGAGCGCGTTTCAAGTGCCGACGCGGAGGGTTAGGGGTGGCACCTGAATATAACATGCAAAGCGTGTAGCAACGGACAAAAACGGCCGTCGTAAAGGCAATGCCGGGTGTGCCGGTGGTACCAGGGCCATACACGGTGCATGTGCCGCTTCCCCAAGGCGCGCGCTGGTATCGGCGCCACGTCGGGTACCTCTATCTGGCTTGGACGCTGAGTACGAGTGCATGGTATCTCGCCATCTTGGACCCGAGCGCCACGAACGACCACTGGTGGCCCAGCTTTGCTACGCGCACGACACAAACGTTCTTGGGGGACGTCTTCAACGCCCAGCTACGGCTCGGCCAAACGGGCGCGTTTTCTCTCTGCTCAGACCGCTTCAGCATGGCCAAGTCGTACGCGGCTCCTGCGACGTTTATGGACGTCGATCCCGCGTCACCGCGCCGTATTTTGCAGTCGACGACGTCGTCGATGGAGACTGCGATTGCCGTGATGCGCACCAACACACTCGACATCAACATCCGCATGTTTGCACAGTACTGCTGGGCCGACTTGGATCGGCGCTACGAGCTCTCGACGTCGGCCGGGCGCGCGTCGCGGTGCCAGCAGCAATATCGCGACAACGCGGGCGTGTATCTCGAAGCCATGCTGCGCAATGTCGATGCAGCGCTGTTGACCACGGACGACTTTGCGATGCCGCTGCAAGTGGCTGTCTTTCGAGGCATCGCCGCCGCCTCATCGGCGGGCAAGGCGTGGGTTGCTGCTGTGATGACGCACACGTGGCTCTCGGTGGCGGACGAAGTCGCGCACTGGCGAGGATGCAATCTGAGCTACTGGCGGACGCAAGTCACCAACTACTACCAGCAAGGGCTCCAGAGCAGTATTGTCATTGTCAACGCGCTCGGTCACGAGCAGCGCGTCACGATTGCGCAAATTTCGTTTGTGCAGCGCCCGCTGTCGCAGTGGACGTTTGCAAGCGGCTACAACGGGTTCTGGAACGACCTATGGCAATGCGAATACAAAAACTGCAGCCTCGTACGAGGCATTCCGCCGATTCTCGACGACTGGGAGAGCATCAACTACGGCACGAGCGACAACGCCTCGGTGCTGATCTCGCTCGTGCACAACCACATTGGCTCGTTTGGAAATCTGGATCTGACATTGGTGCAGATACCTGCAGCGCTCGCGACCCTCTTCTTTGCCGTACAAGCCATGCAGAGCCAACTGCGGCTGCCAGAAGTGGCCAAAATATCCGTGGGCGCCGTGCCGCCATCGTGGAGACTTTGGAATGCAACGTACTTTGGCGGCAACCCAATGTGCATTGGCACGTCGGGCCAGACGTTTGTGCAGCCGCCAATCGGCTTTTACGACGCGTGCGCGACCGAGAGTGAGGACGTGTATGCGCTCGACACTGCGGCAACATTTTTCGCTATCGTGGCCATGTCGCTGGACAAATCTCAGGTTGCAGACGTCTGTAGTCTCTGCAGCGACGGCACCGGGGCTTGCACGACTCTGCTAACAACAACCCTAACCGCGGTCCCGGACGGCACTGCCCTAGCACAGATGGCGTCGTCGGCCGTCGCCAATCTGAGTTTGTCGATGCTGCAGTTTGCGTCGGTCAACGATACCCCCGTGTTTTTGGAGGAAGCCCTCTTTCCGGCCGCGTTCACACCCTGGACGTTCTTTAGCTGGACCATTCTCTACGACTGGCTCCAGGGTCGCCGAGAAGTCTACCAATTGGAGGGCAACGTCAGGTCGTTCACGCTACCCACACGCCGGCACGACTACCTGGCGCTTCCTGCCAACCCGCTTGAGATGCCGCAGAAGGTGTGTTTGTACATTTGGTACATGGTGTTTTACATCACACTGCTCCTTGGCGCTGTTATCGTATGTATTTTGGTGTGCCGAGACCGTCGGTCGCGCGCCTCGAGCTACGACCTCTTCTTCTACAACCGCGTCGTGGGCTCCATCTGGATCGGACGGCCACTCCTGCTCCTACGCGGGTGCTCGGCTCTTGCGCTTTTGAGTACGTCGCCCGTCGTCCTCAGCGAATCGGGTGGGATGACCAAATTCATTTTTGAGCCGAGGTCCCTGCCGAACATTATGATCATTGCAAGCGAGGCGACTTGGGTTTCGTACGTCCTCGTCGACTTCCTCCTGCCTCTCACGGGACGTTTTGCCAAATTATATGCGCCGTACAGCAGCTCGTTCGCATGGTCGATTCTTGTGCTCTGGGAAGTCGCATCGCCGTACGAAGCGATCGCAATTGTTGGTCACGACTGCGATATTGTTGAGCTGGGCCATCAAGCGCGCTGCACCGGTGGCACCGTGGCCATCGGCAGCTGGACGCATTTTCTCGGGGGCTCCCTCGTGACGGTAATCTGTGTGCTGCTGCCGATCGCCATTGGCTGGGTGGCCAAGGGACGCGTGCGATTGGCCACGAATCATGCGCTCGTGCCCGCGGCTGCCGACGTCTTTCTCTCGCACGCGCGCAGCTTCTCGTCGCGCCTTGACTCGACGACAGCGATCATGACGGGCATCATTCCGTTGCGGCGCAAGCTCTTTGACATCAAAATATGGCTCGTGCTCGATCGACCGCAGCTGGCCAACATGCTGCCGCAAACAATCACCAACCCTATGACGACGACAACGTCGTCCCGTCTCGTGAACCCCACTCGGCCGAACTACGCTCTAATTCTACGGGCAATCGCAGGCGTGATGTACGTCCTGTTCTCGGTCGGAGGTAGCTACACGTTCATTTACGTGTCCGAGACAGCGATGGCCAACGACTTTATCTGGGCGTCCTTTGGCTCGAGCAGTCACCAGACGTTTTTGGCCAACTGGTTTTCGAGGCAGCTTCAGATCACGTCGGCCGCAGCATCCGTCGACGTTACCAAACGCGCGTTTGCCGACGACTCGAACGCCTACAACGAATCATCGACGACAGTGCAAGCCACTGTGCTCTACGCAAGCATGATTCAAGACGAAGCCAACTCGCTTGCCAACGTCATTGCGGGTCTGCGCACCATGGACGGCTGCTTGACGCCCTGGATC